GCGAGAGTGCTGGTCCATCGGCCCGGCAACACACTACCTCATCGTTATTACTCACAAAGATGTCTTTCTTCTTTTCAATCTACAGACGTCATCAAGAACTTGATAGTCTCTCTATAATTGCCGATAAATTTTCCTAGTCAAGGTTCAGAGAAGTTGGAGCAGTGACTTGTAGATTGGCCTGCATGAGGTGGTTAACGCTGCTTTTGTGCTAAAGAAGTTTGCTTTTAACGTCATACAGTCACCATGCAGCGTCAGAGATGAACTTCAGGATGTCCCCATCTATGTTATGCCTTCTAACTTGACTTTCCCTTTCTTACAAAGGCTTCAAATGAGAAGAAAATAGGACAGCTTGATAGAGACAATGCTGATTTTTCTTCTGAAGTAGAGTTATAAAAAAATAGTTGTTCTCAGTTTCGCGGCTCAGAACTAGGTAATGCGACTTTTCTAGCTGGAAAATTTTGCATAATTATTCATAATTCTAAGTCTCGTCGCTTACTTTAACTCCTCCTTACCTTTTTTGGCTACCCTGTTACCTCAAGGAAAGTCATGTTATGGCATAGTAAAGATAGAGTAGTCCAAACAACTCTTATACCTCACTAAATTTGAGGAGTTTTGAGAACTGTAAAGTAATATAATGCTAGATAATATCACAAATAAAATTTTGAATACCGCGAGAAAGAAGTGAGAGAAGTTTTCTGTCCTTCTTAGCAATTTCCATAGAAAAACATTATTTTTTGCTTGGTCAAAACTGCTATTTACTGTTTTCTGGCGATTTCCTCATTGATGAAGCTGAACTATGCAAAATAAGAGTTCACAAAAATTCTAAAATTTATTAAAAGCATTGAGACAACAACAGCCCAGTAATTACAATATGAAAACTTTATACAACGATGATGAGGCTGCGGCGCGAAGGTGAATTTATGTAATTGGTGAACAATCTATCTACAACCTAACACAAGTGTTTATCGCCACTCTGACGATGGATCTTGCGATTTTGGTGTTGTTGGTGTACCAGACATATATGAGGGCGCATCCATCCCATACATGTAACCTTGCGAAGGTTTCTTTTGTCGATCTTCGGGAGTGAAATCATAGGTTTGATCGTAACTTCCACTAGACATTGTGCTCATCGAAGGCTGTTCCCTTGCATTGCCATACTGATCCTAAATTGGTAGCGGAGATATGTGACTGGATTTAAAAACCGACATTAAAAAACCCCTTGTATATTTCTAAATATGGGCGGTGCTAACTATATCACAAATAAGTGCAAAAGACATAATATGATCTCATCTGATAAATAGACCGATACTTGTTCAAAGTTTCAGTGCAAGAAAATGAATTAAGGAAAAGTATATCCGACTGAAGCGAAGCAAGAAGCATATTCTAACGTACATGTTCGTTGT